GTAGTGGACTCCGTTTATTTACTCACAAATTACAAAACTAATATTACAAGAGCTCGAAAAGTCCCATTCAATCGCTACAGACCTGCGTTTTGGTGCCCACATGTAGGCTACATGTTTATTATAATTTAAAGAAACAGACTGGCAGACTTTCAAGATCTGCTTAACCGCATCTTTTCCCTGCACAAGGGAAGAAGGGGAATGCGAAAAATTGTCATGCGCCGACGTCCTCTTCACATGCTGACTAACTAAAGAACCATGCATCACAGTGTATAGGAAGATGACTAACACAACTGAGGTTCTTAATTGCCATAGCAACCATTCAAAATGCGGCTGAGCCAAAACAATCCTTCCAAGAGTCAACACACACTACAGTGAACCGGAGGGACCAGAAAGAAAACTACGGTATTTTCGGGACCAACTAGCAAGGAATAGATGCCCAATCAGCTTTATCAACCACCGCCTCCGTACGAATCCCCGATGGATAAACGGAGGAGAACTGCCAACAGTGGCGCCCTCTACCGTATATAAGCTATGTGTCAGAAGGAACAGAACGTGTTGCTGCGGCGTTTGGCGTGGGTATTGCCTATCGTTCGACCGCTACCATACGTGCCAGCATCATGCAAATGAAAGACCGACTGCACGCAGGTGAGCAATCTGGTGTAGTTTATCAAATATTTTGCCGTGAATGTTGTCGCTGTTATACAGGGCTGACAGGATGAGCACTTGGATCTCGAATAACGGATCACAAATCGGCAGTTTGGGAAGTGACCCACTGTTTCCAGTCGCTACTCCCACCCTGGAGAAAGGCCAGGAATTCAACTTCACAAACATTAAGATAATAATGCGAGTCAGTAATAAGACAGGGCGGGAACTGTTGCAGGCCTGGATGTCTGACACGTACTCAATCAACAGGCATACTAGTATAGCCACCTGCGCCTGGCTTACACTGCCGAGAGGTCCGGTCCAGTTCACAGCCAAGGACGCATGCCGTCACGATGCCTTGAGGCGGCGTGGACTCAACCTTGTCGTGAATGCTACCTCCTCCCCCTCCACACATACCTTCCTTCTTGTTGGACCATAAGAATCGTTATTTGTGGTTGTATTTTTATAGTTTCTGCTCATGGCCTCTTGTACGGGACCTAGAGCTCGGGTTAATATACCTTTTGCCCCAGTGATCGCACACCAATATTTAGTAAAACTATCTACTTATGTCATATTAGTAGCCTGACAACAGTAATAATTTTCCTATTACCCATGTCATTAGCAGCGACCCCTCTTCCCGTTCCCTGATACAGATACGCCACCCTCAAACTAAATCGTAAATCTCTACGCTAAGGTATCGGCTTATATAGGCTTTTGGATAACCATTCTGCATAAATTGATAGCAGTGATATCGGGCCTTGCTGATTTTATTCTCTGGCCTGAGTCCATGAGTCTGCGACCGTTTTAAGAGCGAGCTTACACAGCTTCGTTTTTTGAGCGATCGGGTGGTTATGCGCAGATAGGGTTGCTTTAGGGATGCAGATAGGGTGGTTGCTTTAAAAGCTGAAAAAATGTGTGGTGTTTGTTGCGTACACGCCCGCGTATACAGGTACGTCCGAATAAGCACGCCTGCCTAAGGGGCACTTGAATAAGCCACCACTCGGCCGATGCAGCAAAGATCTCTAGAGGCAACATTCCCTCGGGCAGATTGCAAAACACCAATAGCAAACCGCTTGAACCTGCTCTACAATCCTACTTAAGCAGCTGCCACCACTGGCTTATTCCCTCTCAGGTGTGGCTGGACGCAGTCAACACTAGCCCCGGCTTCGCCAGTGGCAACTGCCACCTAAGACAGCAATTGGGAGTTCTCTAAACTATAATTCACTCCTTCTGGTGGTTTCTGTCTTTTAGCTTCCAACCTGGGATTTCGGCCTGATGATTGTAGTGCTCTAAACACACTCGTTACTTGGACCGCTATAAATCTTTTCGGTCAATCATGAGAGTATTCGTCCCTTATCAGCGGGCAGCATAATTTTGTCGCTTCTTCTCAGTTCTTTGATAGCTTTTGACTCATATCGGTTTTGTCTGTGGGTCATCAGCGAGGAGTAGTTTTGTTTGTTGTCGGTGGATTCAGTTCTCACAAGCATAGTTTCCAGAGCTGTAACGAAGCCACACGGATCGACATCTACGGTGTTGACGAAATCTTCATGCTGTGTCACTCGTACTTGCTGTTGTGGTAACTGTTTAGGCGACAGGTTGTGGATGAAGTCTGAACTTTCAGCGTCTACTGACTTTAATTTATTTAATTTCCGCTGCTGTTAATTAAGTACCGCCTTTTGGAACCGTCGCCAACCGCGTCTAGTTCGTAAAATGAAACGGTTGTTTACGCAATTTACAAAGATGCACTACCATTCCCCTCATTAATACGGCGACCGATAATCTACACGGTAGGAATAAACAACCATCTATGGAATACGTTAATGACACTGGCGAATTAAACGGAAAAGTACCGAGCATTGTTTACACAAATTTGCTTCGGCTGATATAACCGGCGTATTGGCAGTTAGTCGTTTACGGACGAAATTAATTGTTTGTTTATAACTTTATGATCCACGCTGTAACCGGTAATGGCTGGTGGTCATTATGCAATTGCCACTCTAGGGTGTTGTAAAATGGCACATGCGACTGAGGTATTTTATTAAATTGAGAAACAGTAACCGAAATTGGATGCAAAAAGAGTGAATGGTGTTTAGTTTCTGGATCTGTGGTACCTGTGATTATTTCGTCTACCCCTGCTTTGGATAAAGTTCCCTTGGCTGCGGAACAGAATCACTGAACTAAATTGACATATTCGCGCTTTTCGGTTGACAGTTTAATAAAGGTTCAACTTCGGCCTAATTTTTCTTACCCATCAACATCTTGATTACAATGAAGTTACGAATGCGTAATGAAGTTATAGAATCAACACTTTAAGCGAATATGCGTGCCCCAGGTTCTTGTTGTAAAGAAGAGGCAGACGCGATCTCTGGAACGATAGTTTTATTCTGAGCTTTCGGCTCCACACGAAAACAGCAAGCGTTAGCTACGCGTAAATGGGGTTTGTAGGGGGGTGGCAATTATTGATTGGTCCCTGTCCACGCCCCACGACCTCTTCGGAACCAACTGACCAAGAATGGATACCCGAACAGCTTCATCAGCAGTTGCCTTCGAACGCGCTCACGGGGAACAAACTAAAGGGAACCACCAACTCTCTGGCACCCTCTACCATACATTAAAAACGTGTCAGAAGGAACCGAGCGTATCGCTGCAGAGCTCGGTGTGGGTATTGTTCATCGCCCGACAGCTGCCATGCGTGCACGAGTCATGCAACTCAAAGACCCACTGGATGTAGGTGAGCAGTCTGACGTCATTTATCAGGTGCCATGTCGCGAC